CCCGCTCTCTACTTGTGATATGGAAAGCTATAGTAACTCATGGGGTCAATGTGGCTTAGAGATTTTTGCTCTGGATAGGTAGATGATTCAGAATTATGATGATTTTGTTTAGTGCGTATGATCAAATTGGAAAGTTGCATGTCAAGCTAGTCAGACCGGTTACTGTTGATCTTTTTCTTCTTTCTTGTTGCCAAATACGACTTTCGTTTACCCAAATTTGAAAGAACTCATGGTTCACATTACCAAAGAAGCGTCTCTAAATACTGAGTTATTTGCTTACAAATTCTCCAAAATTCTGAATCTAAGAGCTAATACAAACGGATGTAAAAAAAAAAAAGAAAGAGCTAATGCGAAACCAATCAAACAAATTAAGTTAATATGGTTAAATGTTCATCATGGAAGGAATGTGTGTAATATGTTTCAAATCACAATCTTTTGTTTAGATGTTATCCCGATTAACACGTGTTTTGATTTATGAATTTTTGGACAAGCTGTTAACAAAGACAATTAAGAACTTGTGAAATTTTTGTTTGTTTATTTTCCGGATGGCTACAAATTTTGTGGGCATTTTAACACTTTATAATTTGTTGATACGATGTAATTAGCTAGGGATCATGGGAAGCATGGACGTACTTGATGAAAACTTAGGATGATATTGTTCTAGGCCTACGTTCTCTTTGTGCTTCTCCAGGTGCTTTCTTTCTTTAGGCTAAATATAAGTTTTCTCTCGTAGTTTATCTGATTTTGTTGTGCGTTAATCTTGGTCCTATGGGATTTGTGATTTTAAGGCAGCTCTTGATGTTAGGTTACGATCTAGTATATATGGTCTTAGTCAGGCGTTCGTGTGATAAGGAATATAAAATATTATAAAGGTACAATATATATTTCATTTGTGTATTATTGCATTATTGAGAAAATAAGTAACAAGACTGTAGTTTGTATACAAAGACTTTAAAAGAACTGATGAGATTATTTTGTGGCGCAAGAAAGTAGTCATCATGGGCAGCTGAATCCTTGTGGAACTCTGCGTTCGCAAGCTCTAAACAAATTGTTAATATTGGGAGAAAGAGAGAAACGTTGTGCTCCGACCGATTTACACAAACATGTCAGTGCGTCTACATCAGAGAGATTACGGATGATGGAACAACATGGCTCTGCCCTTCCATCGCGTAGGATATTCTGAGAAATTACTAGGATCCTGTTACATATCATAAGTTCTGTATCATTCCTACTGCATATACCACTTAGAAGA